AGGAGGGTGGGCTGGGTGGGGGTGGGGCTGGGTGGGCAAGGGCTGGTCACCCCGTGGTGCCCTTATAAAACTCAACCTACTCACGCCGGCTTGTGCCCGCCGTTAACCCTGGCCATTGACCGAGCAACCCAACGTTCCTACCAGCTCCCTCCGCAGGAATGTGTTCCCATGTTTAACACGTAACTTGCTTCGACTGTACCGAGGCCATCAGCCTCGGAGCTGAAATTCCGAAACACACCTACCCAGCCACCTTGGCAGATCTACGGTAAGTCTGTTTGGTGTTCTTAAAATAAAATGAATCAGAATGTTGGGATACACGGTAGCTACATTTACTCTGTAACAGTGCTTTTATGTTGAGTTTTAACTTGACGTTTTGTGGTGCGCAATTATTTTTTGCCAAGCTTAATTCTTGTCACAAATCAGCCTCAAGAATGGCCTTATGCAGACTTATTTTTACATTCCTGACAAGAGCATCTATATTGTTTTGTTGGCTGTTCATTGAAATACCAATGGTCTCCACATTGCTATCCACACCTCGTATTAGCACGGTTGGTTACCTACGGTGTGAAAGGAGTTCAACATATGTGCATGCATCATCTTGCCGCTGTCACTTCGCCATTCTTTTAGACACAAATGCAGCCAGAGTTCATTCTAATGCTCTGTTGTGAGGATTTTATAGAAGCAAACGAAGCTCGTGCAATAACCACACTAAGAAAGAGGGTGCTACAAATAAAACGAAGCAGTACAACAGACACTCGTTGATGTCTATAGGCTTGTTGATGTCTATAGATATTGGTGGTTATATATCCCTCCGTCTCTCCACCGGGGTAGAGCAGTAGCACGGTAGTGCAGTTGTAAAGTCACTGCCCTATGAACTCGGCGACCGACCTGAGATTGATTCCCAGCCGTGGCTACTATTCGTGGCACGCCAGAACCGGTCGTATACCAGCGTAGTGAAGAATGGTAAAACGACCTTCATGACTGAAACAGTGTGGGGGGAGGCCTTCATCCATCAGTTGATTGACAAGGAGCTATAGGTTATTTACTATTATTATATTGTATTAGTGCACTGTAATTGTTGGAGAGATTTCATATTCTTTATATGGTTGACGTGACCATGGTCGCGGTTTATTGGAGGGTCTTGAATAGTAGTAATTTCTGGATCTTTGTAATTTCTAAACTGTACGAACTTGTAACTTTAATTATGGGAGGGAATTGGGAAAGCGGCAAGAGCCTAGAGGAAACCCATGCAAAACGGGGATAGAACATACAAACTCCACACACAAAGGCATCCGAGTTGGGAATCAAACCCAGAAACGTGTTGTTGTGAAGTGCAGCGGTTGCCACTTTGCCACCCCGTCGCCCAATATGAAGTCAATTTGATTGGTGGAGGGAGCCTTTTCACACACCCCTTAATATGCAGAAAGATCAAATTGTTCGTGTTCTGACTTATAAAACAATTGGCTGACCTTGATGAAATGCTGCATTTTTTAAATGTGCAATGCAATTTGTACAATGCTGATCCAACACATTGATCCCCACCCAGAAAAGCTCCTGGTCTTTTCCCAAGAGCACTCACAACTAAGAAACCAACATCGATGGCCTTGTATGGACTTAATGCAAAAAAAAATTATTGTGTGATGGAGAGGAGAAAGGGTGTACAGTTTGCATGTGTAGTGACATAGAATTGGTCACTTAGTAGCATAGCGCTGGCTGCTGGCAGGGAAGGGGATCTGCAGCTTGTAGCAGCCCTGACAGCAGCAGGCCACGTGATAGACCCGAGAGGGATCTAGGGTAAAGGTTACGGAAGGGACACGTCGAGGGCCGCTAGTAGGTTCTAGAAAGGGGGCATGGCCGGGGCGGAGCGTGGCCACGCTAACAGGATAAAAGGGGACTCCGAGCAGGAGCTCGGGGCCATCGTTTAGAGTGGGATCCCTGTCGTCGTTGCTGTTGAAGATCGTCACCATCATCGCTGTCGTCTCGTGCCTTCGTTGCTGTCGTCTCATCTGATATATTACGCTACTCGACGTAGTTGGCTGTCTTAGTTCAGCGCCGTCAGTGTCAGACGGCTAGCGTTGTGTGTGTAGGCTAGCAACCAGTGTAGAGTTGTGTTTGAGCGAGAGGACAGAGTGTGTAACAGTGTAGGGTGTGTATTGTATAAAGTGTACAAAGTGTGCTCGGTGTTTAATAAAAAAAAATTGCCTCCACGAGTTACGTCTCCAAGTCAGTCACTACACATGCAGGGCAATTTCCTTGCTATAATGTAAACTTCAGCCACAAAGCCAAATGTTGTTTAGAAACGTATGCAACAATACGTACATATTTAACAGCTCATGGGAGTGGAGCTGTCACTAACCGCTATCTCTAGTACCTATCATCAAGTAATAGATGCAATATATAAAAATTATTCATCATAAAGCTGGGAAGTGCACATATTTCAATGGGTTTTATTTTATTGTACAGTTTTCCACACTGCACATTCATGATTTATGTCACCCATATGGTGCATATACTCTCTTTTTTCAATTTTAAATGGGATATATTGCTGAGAGCCCAGATAAATAGGCAGGTCCAATGTGTTTTTTAATCGGTACGTGCTTTATACAATTACAGGGATAGGGCACCTGTCAAACACGTAAATCAAATAGTGTAATGCAAATTATGACGACATTATTCTAGGAAAAAAAGAAGGAAACAATATTTAATTTACCAAAGCAAACACAATCAGGGGAAATTTAAGTGTGATCAATACAGACTCGGGCTTATGGCTCTCGGCTTACAATTGATTAGAGCTCCGTCTCCAAAGGAACTTGAGTTTCAGGAGTGAACAGAGGTTTCTCATGGTCGACAACGATTTAATCCCCACATCTACGTGACTTCACCGAAAGAACCAAGAAGATGAATCCCTGCAGTCACGAAAGCTTTAAATCGAAATTTATATGTGTTTCATCTACTACTGAACTATTAAATGTTTGGCTGGCTATATACATCCACACTATTCACGAGCTGCATGTTTCACTCTGTGAATGTGTATTTTTTTGGGCCCAAAAAAAAATCCATAATCTGAAACAGAAGAGAGTTTGACTGGTTCAACACTGCCTGACACACGGCATGTGTATAAAGGCATTTTACAGGACTCTAGTTAGTGGATGTGACTAAATCCTCCCATTATAAGGGGTTGTTAAAATGTGTACATAAACTAGTAGATAAGAAAATCTCAAGTTAAATATTACATTAGTATCTATAGTGCTCGATAGTTGGAGGTACACTGTTCTGTACAGTGCTGTGACATTAAGTAGTCTCTGCTCAAATTAGTTTTTGGCTGTGCTCATCCCTGAGGAAGTGGTGGAATACATTTCCAGAATGGAACCATTTATTTGATACTAGCTTTACAACCCGGCTTCGCCCGGGACTTGGATTCACCACGCCCGGCCGCCTTTGTCTCCCCCCAGTGGCGATGTTCACACACCAGTTACTCGTTTGAGGCTGAGTCGACCTAGGGGAGACCCAGGACCGATTCAAATAATCGCAACCGCTGGTGGCTGTGAGCGGGAACCGAACTCGGGTCGCCGGGTTTGTAGCACAGCGCGCTAACCACTACACCACCGCTCCCCACACACACACACGTGCGCGCGCGTCCATAGGTACACATACACACGCGCTTGCTGCAGACACACACAACTTTCAGGGTGCGTACGGCAGTAAACGACTCAAATAATAAAGCAATGCTGAACCGGTCCCTGGGCCTCCCCTAGGTCGACTCAGCCTTAAACGAGTACTTGGTTCGGTGTGTAAACATCGCCACTGGGGAGACAAAGGCGGTCGGGCGTGGTGCTGGCCACCCACCCCCTCGTGTACCGTTCCGGCTTTCATAGGTGCTCGCTAACAGCACTTGCCCCTACAGTCTGTTAAGGCTATACGGGGGATCTTTATCTTTATAGTAGTGTATAGTGGTGTAGTAGTGTATCATGTCCTAGTGTATAGTGTAGTGCAGTAGTGTATAGCAGAGGTGGGACAAAGTCATTGTTATGCAAGTCCAAGTCGAGTCTGAAGTCATCAAATTCATGACTCGAGTCTGACTCGAGTCCAAGTCACATGACTCGAGTCCACACCTCAGAGGTGGGACAAAGTCATTGTTATGCAAGTCCAAGTCGAGTCTGAAGTCATCAAATTCATGACTCGAGTCTGACTCGAGTCCAAGTCACATGACTCGAGTCCACACCTCTGGTGTATAGTGTAGTGTATAGTGATGTAGTGCTGGAGTCTGTCGCCAGGGAAAGGGAGGTGTGGACCGTCACGACTCAACACGCTGCCGCCACGACTCCCCACCAGTACAAGCGGATTGAGAAATGAACGAACGGATTCCTCCAGGTATACAATAACTAAAGTACTGTATTCTCATTATAATATACTCGGCCCAGTAAATGTGAATGCGGAATGTCCACACCACCGACTTTCGGCGCTACGGAACGGCAAGACCGAGTGGCAATGCCGCAATGCTCATCATCTGAGCAGAGGGCCACCACTTTTGCGCATATCACGCGACACACAGCAACACGCGATTCCAGTGGTAGTGGCCAATGCAGTGTATGAAATACAAGGGGAGCGGGCGTTGCAAATTCCAGTCTGGATAAGCGCGGCAACCCCTCCCCCCATCCCCCACACTGCCCTCTATTTAAACTGGGGGTTGCGGGAGGGGGTTGAAGGGGGGGTTGCGGGGGGGGGGGTTGCGGGGGGTTGCGGGGGGGTTGCGGGGGGGGTTGCGGGGGGGGGGTTGCGAGGGGGGGTTGCGGGGGGGGGTTGCGGGGGGGGGGTTGCGGGGGGGGGTTGCGGGGGGGGTTGCGGGGGGGGGTTGCGGGGGGGGGGTTGCGGGGGGGGGGTTGCGGGGGGGTTGCGGGGGGGTTGCGGGGGGGGTTGCGGGGGGGAAATGTTTGCGGGGGGGGGGGGGTTGCGGGGGGGGGGGGTTGCGGGGGACGGGGCGCTGGTGTACGCATGCGCAGTGCGGGTAGGATGCGGCACCGGTCTGGACCGGCTTGAGCAGTGCGAAGTTGTTCGTGGCGCGTCGCCGTCGTCGATTCCTCGCCTCGTCCTCGTCGTCCTCCTCCTCGTCAGGTCGCCTCGTGCCCCTCAAGCCGCATTTCTTTGTTTTAGCCCGAGAAGGAGCAGCAGCAGCATCGGCGGCTGGTGGTGGTGGTGGTGGCTGTTAATTGTCCACCCCCCCAGCGGCTCTGGGGAAGAGGAGTGGTGGTGGTGGACAAGTGGCGGAGCGAGCGAGAAAGGTGAGGAGTGCGTGTGGGAGAGCAGTAACACACTCGTCGTACACACACACACAGAGAGATGCTCACGGATACACACACGGAGAAGAGATGTACGCGTACAGAGAGATACGTTAGAACGATGTACAACAGAGATACACAACACTATACACGCGTGCGTCTTGTTAATCTATTTTTGTTGTTGCATTCAGTGTGTACACAAGGTACACGTAGACACCCAAGGGTATGAGCACACAGATGTACTTACAATAAATGTGCACGTAGATACCAGGGGGATAACACGTACACAGAGATGTATATAGTATACACACACGCATACAAAGAGACGCAGTACACACACATGCATTGTATCTGGATATACTGACCTTCATGCTGGGTTGTCGGTGTGTATTTAGTTTAATGTTTGTCAATCCATTAACTTAATCCATAAATAAGCAAAATTTCAAAAAAAAATAGAGAATTACTTTAAAAGCAACACCCCAATGACGACAATTTGCCTGCGATTGCCCAATATGTGAAGCTGTCAACAGAAATACGCACACCCACTTAAACCACAATAACACATATACATAGATATCTACAAAGATTCGTGTGTACACAGCGATATACACAGACATACACAGTAATTTACACGTACTAACACATTTAACTTTACACATTTATATGCAGTCGTCTTAGAAATACTCGGAAACGCTCAGTACATAGTGATTTAACAATAACTATCGTGTCACATAACCCCGTCTAGTAAATGAATGTTTCCTTAGATTACTCTGACTTCCTTGCCACATTTGAAAGATTCTTTGATAGAATTGGTATCCCATCTGAAGTATGCTTGGTTCGCATACTTCGTGTGTGCCATTAAACAAGATTTATAATTTATATGAAGTCTATAAATGCATTCTTTTTTTTAATAGGGTTGTTTCGTTATGCATCGTTCACACTGGAGCGTTTAAACTGCCATATATTTTATACTCTTACAAACGACACTATAAACAGCTTTTTTTTTAAATTCACAACGTGGATTATGTTTTCATATTGTAGGCACTATGCCATATTATGGAGCATGTCATATATATTTTTTTTATTTATAAAATAAATACACAGTTTTGTCTTGCGGCTTGAATGTTTAGAAATTAAACTTTGCTCCCCCCTCTCTCCAATGTTGGTTGATGACCACTTTTTTAAAAACCGGTTTGTGACCTTTGGCAAACCCCGGGCCAGAGAGAGAAGAGAGATGAGAGGGGGGGGGCCCAAGTCTAAAAATTGTCAAGCGCTTCCCAATTGTGCACGTATTTGTTCCAGATGGGGATTTGTTGACGTGTCCGATACTCGAGAGGGCCATCCATCGGTGGTGGGCCAGTGATGGGCGAGGCAAGGTGAGAAGGGGCATTAAAGGAGGCAAAACCCTCCTCGTCCTCCAGTTGAGCGTGGAGGTGGCACAGAAAAGCAGGGACAAGTGAGCCGAGCTGTCGTCGGTTGGGAGGGTGAGTGTCAAACGTGTTTCTTCGCAACGCAACAAAGCTAAGAGTTGACGAGAGAGCATCGTTTAAAAGTAAATTTCAATTCAGTTTAGCCACGCCACAGTTCATTACAACTGGTGAGAGATTCCTGCAGGGATTTAGTTTGATTTCCATGATTTCATTCTTGCACAATTCCTTCGGGAATTGCATTTCTGTTAGCTATTCCCATTTTAAATTACTGTATCCACTCATTTAAATGTAATTCTCACAGATTATGTCATGGAAGGTAGGGTGTTGCCAGAATTCCACGCTAAATATGTAATGGAGTCATGCCAGTTATGCAACTAGATCATTTAAGACGTTTCTCTCGATGTTTAATGAAACGTGCAGCAGAGCTAAAGCATCTTAAACAGGGGTTAAAAGATTCCAATCGCTACTGGCAGAAGCATCTTCAATAGAAGGAGCTGCAGAAAATCCCTCGAAAGAGGGTACTTTGGCCTGCTCTTGCACACTGGCTTGACGCTTTGGCGTAGATATATTTTTCAATACATACAGGATTTTGAAATGTGAAGATAATGACGGAGTTTAAATCTTTTTTCTTTAATATGATAGCAGGGTAGGCGATTATTTACAACTGCAGTTTTGCTCGAGTTAAAGAAACGCGTTCATCAAAGTTGTGAATTATGCTTTTCAGTTTGAATTCGCAGCATCGTGAAAGAAACATGGTCATCGGTCTTTAAAGTGTTTGCATGTATAGAATGCCATTTTGAACGAATGTAGTGTGTTGTTGAAGGCGATGGTGTCAGGTTTGAGTTTCAACAGAAACCTTAAAATAGATATTGAACAATTAGTCCATGTGTTTCACATCTTTGTTAGACATGCATGATAAACCTAGAGAGTAAATACCTATTCTCCTGAACATTCAGAATTGTATTTAACACTATAGTTAGGAAAGGCCTACAAAAATAAAGCTCGTATTCCAAAGGCATTATTTTAACCGATGTAGGTGACAGTGTGTTTTTCTCTGGCAGAGTAGGGGGCACAGCTGGTGCATCAGCCGGTCATCTCGGCTAGTCAACCCACGGCACCTGGGTCTGTCCCGTGACCTCCTGGGTGTTGCAACACTTCACTTGGCCTTAACGTGCACATAGCCTGGCACAAGCGCCTCGATGACATCACTGCAGCTTAGTGGCGAATGGCGGTTGTTATATTCTCCAGGTTCTCCGGTTTACTTCCATGGCTAAAAAACCCCAAACAGTATAATTTGTATTGGCCAAACATCCCAATGCTAAAAATGACCTGCAAATTACTCAATTTGGATTACGCATAGCAGGATCGCTCCCTACTGTGAAAACTTGGCAGGACCCTTCTAAAGAAGAGTTGAGACTCGGTGAGGTTTTCCTGGATAAACAAAGTGTAAAAATAATATATTAATAAGTCACACTCACTTTAGACTTAATATAAAATTAAGAGTGTTCATCAAAAAAAGAGTTATGTGTTGGTACTGCTTTGTGGAAGTTAACATCAGGATATTTCTGAGAAACGTCACCTTTGAAATCTGTATAAACAGCAAGAGAAAACCTTTATCCAAAGCTGTTAATGCAGAGTGACATGGAAGAATGTGGTTAATGGAAACAATGAACCTTGAGCTAGATCTTTAACTGACCAGGTGTCTCAAAAGTCAGTGGTAGAGGGGTGGCTCACTATTAGGTTTGCGAGTTTGAAATTCCAGTTGGGGAGTTTGACTCGCCCCATCACTACGCCACGGTCGATAAAATCAATACTGCTTTGTTGGGAAGTGACATGGTTGGTTTGCATGGAGAGTCGACCCCACCGTACAAATGCGGAATTATTACCACTGACGAATGCGAGTTGAGCACTGCCTTCAATGCTTATTTGAGTAAGAAATTACCGACTGCAGTATTTTTTTGTATTGCTGTCGCCCGTTTTGAAAGTGTAACTTTAAAAAATATCTAATCACCGTTTTCTTTCTCCCCCTTTAACATCTATTTTAGGCAAACTAAACCGGTTTCACGCCAGTCTACCTCTTGAAAGAAAATGGTGCCGTCTCAGGTCACATTCCTCGTCAGGGCAGATACTCTTCCAGGTAATTTGGTTGGCTGATCTCTGAATAAAAAGTGTGCCGTTCCTGGCCCTTCCCCCCTCAACCATTATATATACGGGGTGGTATTTCTTGTGATCTCTCATTTACTTGATACAGCTGTCGTGGCTGTGACGGTTCCACCTGAAGACGGAGGCTTGTGTTGCTTCCGAAACGTCGTGAATTTTTTATTTTGTTTTATTAATTTAATTTATTTACCTACGTGACTTTACCGAAAAAACCTAAGAATATGATCTCTGAAAGTATGCCACATGGATGAACACAGTAATGGGTATTTATTGCAAGTTTAAATGCTTATTGTATTTTAACTTTCCTAAGTCATGGAAATGATGTACATTCACTCCTGGATGAAGGGCTCTGTTTCATGCCGTTCAGTGGCTCTTGTTTAACTATACTTTACCCTGGTCAGTGCTGAAACACTTATATCAAATACCCGTTTACCACAATGTTGGAATTCCTTTAAAACAATATTGAACAGGATTGTCTATTTTTTGTTATAATTTGAACAGGGGAAGCTCTGGGGTTGTGTGGGGACAGCCAAGACTTGGGAAGCTGGAAATCTGAGAACTCTATAACTTTGCATCAAGAATTACCAGACAGGTGAATATTATTTCGTCTCATATGAAGTCGACATGTTTGACATTGATTCCCTTAAGTCTTACAATTTAGCTCATTACAATGTACATTTTAGTAAATTATTGCAAGGATAAAAACCCTTTATGCATTTCAACTTTTGATACGCTTAACGTCATACTATGGAAAAGCAATTATGTCTTAAACAAACAGTGGCACGATTTCGAACCCACTTACATGTGTTGCCAGTGTTTAACTATCTTTGTTTGGCCTTTTTGCACTTCTGCAGTAACATCTGGACGGTGACGGTACCCCTGCCCTCTGTGAAAACTGTACACTTTCGCTTCTTCAAAGGCTGCTTCTACGAGTCAAAGGTGCAATATATAATATACCATACTTTAGATTTTAAAGCAAATAATTTACGAATGCTTACAGATGTTTCTAAACAATGCAGTTTGTTGCGTCATTCACGTAGAAAGGTGTATTACGACTTCCATTAGCAGTGACTCGAAGCCAGTCTGAATAATACAACTTTAATTCAGTGATAACATTTCACAGTTGACTTCTACTCATTTTCCGACAGACTAAAGATGGAAGTAAACTGGTCACGGTTAACAAATGGGAGACCCACCTCCATCCCAGGGAGTTTACACCAACTGGTAAGAAACTTGAGACAGGTGTTGATTTAATATTGATGTTGTATTCATTGTAGTAGTATCTTACCCATTTTCTCAATTAAAGCTTGTCTTTTATGGACCAGTTTGCAAAGAGGTATTTCATTCATTTCAGAAGTAACGGTGCAATCTGTTATCTACAGGTGCCAATTGCAGCGTTGATGGAGGACATTTTGGCATTGTCAGTAAGTATCACGTTGCGAGCATCCTGAGATATGCAACAGGACCTTAATTAGCATTGGGTGAACTTTGTTTTCTGTAACACTTGCCAAAATCACAAGAGAACATGTGTATATGTATACAGTATAGCTACATTCCTCGGGGATATGTGTATTATAACTGATACATTTAATTGACAGTTTGATAACTAGGGATGAATTGCATTGGAGACATTGTATGGTTGGCTAACTATTTTCATAACTATTGAGTAAAATTATTTCAATTTGAAGATAACACTTAGATGGGGAGGGGGGGTGTGCCCTTGTGAAAAACACATTCCACTTCATGGACAGAATTAGAATAACATCAAGTACAAATGCATGTAACGTATTCTTCTGACAATCGCCATCGAGCTTGCAACCTCTGTGCGTGCTTAAATTGTATTAAGTTGTCATCTTTTTCCGTGTACAGATGGAGTGACATCCGTTGACATCGGTTGGTTGACCTGCCAAACAGAGCTCCGGTTACGTCTGCACTTTTCTACCAAGCCGCCTGTTCTCATAAATAAGAAGAAATTCAAGAACTCACGTTTTAGGTAACAACATGGCCCACATTCTCACCACTTTGTTTGGGGAGGTTCATGCTTCCATTCCTGAAGGCTACCTCTGGTTATTACTGCGGATGTATTAACCATGAAATGCGTGCTGTCTGCGTCAGTCGACGTTAAAGATCTCCAGACGTCATTAAAAATGAGCAGGTCATTTTCTGCTCTAATAACAATGGCATGTACAAAATGTGCGAATGTATTATAACAACGTGATTTGAACATGTTCCTAGTATATTCCTGTGTATCGGTCTGTCTTGATCGTTTTAAGTGCACGTGTGTTAGGGTTTCATACAGTTTTGGTTTAAAATTTGAAACGCTAGGACTAGAATTTCACATTGTTATAAATATTTTTTGTTACTCCTTTGGGCAGAGTGAAGCTGACTATTGAAGGCACAGAGGAAGATGACGATTCAGAAAATTACACGGAGGCAGAATGTACCCAGACCGAGAACCCCAAGGTGCCACTATCCCTTGAGATTTCTCTTATCAGTCAGGGCCAGTACAAGTCACGGCACTCCCAGCCCGAGTGTGGATATGCCCTGGAGCCATCATGCTGGATGGAGTACATGGTCCATACAGTGGACCCAGGGAACCTGGAGCTTACCTTTGACTTTTTTGAGGTATGGCTGGATGTGCGCATATGTGTTTGTGTTAAACTTGGGGACTGGTGGTGCAGCGGTTGGCATGCTGCGCGACGAAGCTGGCGACCTGAGTTTGATTTCTGTTCATGGCCAACACCAGTGACCATTATCTGAACCAGTCCTTGGCCTCCCCTAGTTCGAATCGTCCTGATATTAGTAATTGGTGCGGTGTGTAAACATCACCACTGGGGAGCCGAAGGTGGTCGGGCATGGTGCTGGCCACCCACCAACTCGTGTACTGTGCCAGCCTTCATAAGTGCTTGTGAACAGCACTTGCCCCAAAAGTCTGCTAAGAGGATCTTTGTTGTTTTGGGCTTGTGAAAATAAACATTGTTTTTATTTGTATGAAGTGAGAAAAGAATTTAACCAAGCGTGCAATATTTGTCACAACTGGATGCCATTACATTTAACTCTGGATTGCACAAACCAGTTTTTCGTGATGTGTATGTTGCCTGAATGTCTTGTGCCAAACTAGTACACACACGGTTTGCTTTGTTTATGTTTTTTGTTTATTTGGGCAAGGCTCGAGAGAGTTTTCTTTTGACAACTAACCAAATCTCTTTTGTCAACAGGAGGACCTGAGTGAGAGGGTGGTACAGAGCGATGCCTTGCCAGGCCTGGTGGGCACGGCCTGCCTACTTTCATCGACTCTCATGGAAACGAGCAAAAGCAATGGCGTCATTAGTCTGCCCATCATGGGACGAAACACGCGGCAGACAATCGGCAAAGTAAACGGTCAGCACTGCATTTCGCACCACATTGACTTCTTTTGGGATATCGAAGTCTGCATGTTGTGTTCCATGGGGGAATCGATCATTGATAAATGAAGCTTTTTACTTAATGTGTTAACATTTTATGTGTTTAATGTTTAATGATTGATTAATGTTTGTGCATTTTTTGTTAATAAAAAAAAGCTCTTTGAAATAGTTTGAGCCAAATTTTGACCCGTGTGGAATATCATAGCCTGTCTTTAAATGTAATAGTCGCATTTTTACCTATTTAGTTCTTTAACATGTATTATCTCCCTTTAATGGAATTCATTGCCAAGAGGCGTAATGTTAAGCTGCATAAATTAAGTCTGGATTCGTGGTTTTGACATAGTCGATGCTAATTTAAGTAAAAATTCACGTGTATTTTATACATGTTGATGAACCAAACTTCTTTGTTCTGTAACTGCCATTGACTTTTCTCTTCTGACTCCTCATTTCAGTGGACTACTTCATCATCCACCCAGCCCAAGACCTGCATTGTGATATGAAGGCCTCATTCTCCAAGTATTGGAAGCCACGTCAGACCCTAGACATCGGTCATAGGGGTGCTGGCATATCATACTTCACAGAGAAGTTAGTGAACTCTCTTTTTCATGAATTCAACATGGCTTTGCACTCTGATCTTGTGCTGTAATTTTACTTGATGCTGAATTGTTTCCAAAAAGCACAACAGGTTAATAATACTTCTAGATTTGAAGCTTTCGTGACTGCAAGGATTCATACTCTTAGTTCTTTCGGTAAAGTCACGTAGGTAAAAAATGAAATTAAAATGAATAAAAAATAAAATAATAAAATCACGATGTTTCGGAGGCAACACAAGTCTCTGTCATCAGGTGGGACTGTCACAGCCAGATTTGCTGCATCAAGTGAGGCAGGGATTCAAGATGCAAGCTCTTAAATACAAGTTAGGTTAATAAAAACAGTGTTTATTTTGTCAAGTCCACAGATTGGATGTTTTGTTGACCCATGCATTAATTGTAGAATGAAATTCATTCATAAAAAAAATACGCTTTTTACAAGTATAAGTTTTAATGCAATGCATTTGAAAAGCAATTTTCATTGATAATTTAATCAACGTTTTATAAGCTACAGTATTGTTGATACAAAGTCTAAGAAAATGTGTGTTTAATTAAGATGCTGAGAACATTATTTCAATTTTCAGTTTATTTTGGTGTATGTAGTTGCCATTACAATTCACATTTCTTCATAAAATGAGGTTTTTTAAAATGTATATTTATTTTCGTAGGCTTGCTAAAGTTCGAGAAAACACCATCACCTCATTTAAGAATGCTGCAAGCCATGTAAGTGGATGAATATCGCATTGGTTTACGTAACTTTTTCCTTCCGCATTTAGATTAACTTAGTGTAGAGCATTCACAATTAGTTTTATTTACATTTACAGCATGCTATGTTTTTTGTAATCCTAGATTCTTGCTAATATGCTCACACTTTCAATCTTTTATTCAAAATTCTCAATTATCAACGTGAATTCGGGAAATGTCCTTAATTGTAAAATAATCAATGTCTTCATAATATTTCCACATTCATTGAGGGTGTGAATTTAAGGAACATTTTAATTCTAAAATGAATTGCTTTTAATTGTTTTGTAAGGCATATGTTAAAGATCTATTTGTGTGATGTTAGTGTTTGAGCTTTGTGAGCTTTGCCAAACGTATTTAGATTTTTTTTTTGTTCTACAGTTTACACTTTCAAACAAAATTATTGCATTGTCTTTGAACAATGCTGAAGACGAGCTCGCATGGCGTTGCACTTCGATTTCCTCTTGTTGTCTTGTGTAATCATGTACGGCCATTTTGTGAATCGACTACTGAATAAGAACCTCTCCACACCGTGCAGATCATGGGCATTACTTAACCATTCTTGACCACACTGATCAGTGCAGGTTGGTGGCGGCAGGGAGCATAGACTTGTAGCATAGTACAGCACAACAGCAGATATTCCTGCACTGCCCTCTGCTAACACCATCGCCCAAAATCAACCTCTGACAACCGCTATGGTGGTCATCCAATCCAAACACCTGTCCAGGTCTATGACCAAATCATCCGGGATGCAACCAATCTCGTCCGATCCAGGAAGCTGGGAGCTCAGCTTGGAGGATAAGTGTAGATATTTAAAGCGTAATATGCAGTTGACAATGTTAACATTAATGAGCAACATTCCACATGCTTTGATGTTGAAGTGATGCATCAACCTTCCAAATTACGTGCCAGCTGTTGATAGTTCGAGGTTACGTGGCAAGCTCATGGTCTTGTTATTTCAGGGAGCTGCTTATGTAGAGCTGGACGTTCATCTCTCCAAAGATCTTGTTCCAGTAGTATATCATGATTTTACCTGCTGTATCTCCATGAAAAAGGTAAGGTTATATCGGAGTATGTAATTGATTGCTTATAAGCTTGAAGCATGCCTTTTGGAATCAAGGTTTTAGTGTGGGTCAACTCTTGATTATCTGGTATAATAGGGTTGAGGATTTGGAGGTGGTAATCTGGACTAAACAGAAACGCAGATGAGTTTGTTTTCTTTAACCAGATGATAACACAAGAGACCAACCTAGACTCATTTGCAAGAGTGACCTGGATAACCAAATACAGTGATTGCTAAGTATTATTCAAAAGGAGTAATTTCCGTGTAATTTCTTTTTTTAATTGGACCCTGACGCCAGCACACAATGACATACTCTTGCAAATGACGTCAGGCAATCATTACGGCCCAATGCGAAACAGAAACAAGATGGGCGCATGTTATTATCCAACCTGCAGTAATTATTGGGTGCCGCTGAACAACAGCAATTAGAGAACATGCCCATGATAAATTATGGCAAAAATTGCATAAATTTCGCTGTTTTAAACCATTTATTGCTCACGTATATATAATGGGGGTGAAGAGTTACAATGTGGCAGAATGTATTCTGTCATTAGCTCTGCATGAAGTAATGGGCTTAATCACGATTACATTTTTAGGTCAGAGGGACTGCCCCTAAACAATGATGAGCAGTTAATTATTAAACCAGTGTGTGTAGATATATTTTAATGACTTTTTTTGAAAGTACGGTTAATTTATTCACCCACGGATAATCAAGAGTTAACTGTACTTAAAGTCTAACACCTATTTCATTTATGGAAGCAACTAATTTAGTTTCATATGCATGCATACTAATAGCACTTTTGATGGTGATACTATGCAAGTTTAAAATTCAAGTTTATTTTGTTGAACAAGGTGAGAATTGGAAGAGATCAGGGGTAGTCTCATTTGCAAAAGTTGCCGGGGTCACTAAAATGACCAAAGCAGACAAAAAACTACAGCAATAAAACAAAGTGGAAGTCGGAACAAAAGCAACTGCCACATGAGAAATCTAAAATATTCCACAATCATAAATTAGCGTTACATAATAAAGAAAAAGTTGGCTCGTGCAGATTATTTTAGACTGATCATATAACCCCCCACGAATATTTTAACCTTCATCGATACTTTGATACCAATATAATACAAAAAAAAATCCTAAATTTGGTTTCAAACTCCATTGTCTTCGTTTAAAAAAATAAAGATGTTGCCCATGTGGTTTGTAAATAATTGTGACCCTGCTTGACATGGCAGTCGGTGACTGGACATCTGAATGTTAATTTGAAATATCCACATTTGTTTGCCATATGTACATTACCCTTACACGTTTATTACCAAAGGAAACAAATGTCTTGTAAAGCAGGTACACTTCAGGAAGTTACATTTTATAAACTGTCTTATGAGTAGGGATAGCATAATTTATTGATTCGTGAATTGTTATTGATTCTCAACGTCGCAAAACATGCATTGAATTGAGTGTATAAGAAAATAAGCATTTCCATGTGTTTATACGTAATTGGTTGGCATCATTCCTGCAGCCACTGGAGGCGTTGCCATTCACCGTAGTGTTAAAAACAATACACGAGGTCTTGAATTGGGACGCTGAATCGTGATAATTCATTGCATCACCACAGGGGTTAATCATTCCACTACTACCCATGAGAACTTTGCTTTCAGAGATGTCCTGGTGGGCCTGTTAGCCACACGAGTCAATGGCATTCACACACATTACATCTAAACGTAACATCTTAGGGTCTTCGTAAAACCCTAAGCTTCTACATTTCCTTTTTTGTAGAGGCACATGGATGATCAATCCGAGCTGTTGGAGATCCCTGTAAGGGAGCTGACCTACCAACAACTGCAAATGCTTAAGGTAAGGGCGACACGTCACTTTCATAGCAAATGCACACGCGGTTATGAGCTGCAGATTCTACATCACTCTAAATACGTCAGGAGAAAGAGCTTGAGTTTGATTGTACACGAACATCGCAACAGACGTTTAGAAAACAGTATAGATTGTGAGAAGATTACATCGTAAAGAGCTGGGCAAGAAACCCTAAGGAGATGCACGGAACATTGATATCTTTGCAGAAGTTTACGGTGAAGGTGCAGCTTTACAATTTCTCTCGGCACTTACTTAGTGTAAGGGCCTCCACTAGAGGGAGCTCTAGAAAGCTTCTCAATACTCTTTCACTCTGGCCAGACCTCTTCAAAGAGGATGGGAATAGCCATTATTTTTTAACCCCTCCTAAACGCGACCTGCTGATGGAATAACTGGTGTGTACCCATGTATACAGCTGGTTGGACAAGTTAATGTGATTATATGTGTAGAAGAGCATGAGTGAATTGGTAATAGTTGCCTGAGGGGACAGCTTCTTAAAGGGTTGTGAATTTAAATTCAAATAGGGACGACGGGAGCCGATCATGGAGCCTGGTGCATTGGCATTAAGTGGGCAAAATATTGTGGAATCTTTACATCAATAAAGATAGATTTAAAAGTCTTCTGCTACGTACGGTGCGAAAGAAGTTCTACATACACATGGTTTGATGTGACGAAGAATTAAATTGAGGTGATAAGCCGTGGCTTATTAAATAAACATTGACTTAAAGCTTTCATGACTGCAGGAATTCATATTCTTTGGGTCTCTTGGTAATGCCACATAGATAGATAAAATAATTTAAAAAAATAGTAAAAATAATCACAATATCACGAAATTTCGATCGCAACACAAGCAATCGTCTTCGGGTGAGAAATATCACAGCTATCTATGTGGCTTTACCGAAAGACCTAAATAATATGAATAAACACAAACATTGTATAATAGCATTTTGACTGTTAAAGACTGAAATAAGAAAATATTGGTAATTTTTTAAGTCGCTTAAGTTCGTCAGAGCCTTCCTTGGATTTCACAGATTACATTGATGGGTTGCTATGTACTAACAACTTTTAGGTTAGTTAGCAATATGATATAAACAGCATCGACTTTGTTAAGCATTTAATTTTCTCTTTGAAAACTTTGTTGTTGTTGGATCAATTTTGTCCATATAAGACATGATTCCCATATTGGCATTGTATCATTTGTGAGCTTCATTTTCATTTTCTACCAAGATTGGAATTAGCCCCAAACAGAGTAAACCTATTCAATGTGTAAGTTTCCATTTTGAAAGATGTTACATCGTCAGATTCCAGACACGCAAAAAATAAATTACCATAAAAAATATCACTCTTGTTTTATGATAGCATAAGCACTCGGGCATGAACCTTGGCAAATTATTTGGCATAGAGTTTGCCATTTAATTTGATTGTAAGTGCTTTTAAGTTTTGCTATGCTCTTGACTCCCTTCCTATATCCATGAAGCTGGCTCACGCTCATGCAAAAAAAGTCGACCTTGACCACGGTATGTCAGCCTCTGTCGCCGTTCATTAAGGCACACTCATAACCTTTTGAACTGTTAAAGTTTATTTTACATGAATATAAAAAAATAACCTACTTTGTGTTTTCTAATCCTACTGCACGTGGTGTTAGTATTGACCGTTGGGTCAATTAAGCTATTTGTTTTACACCACTCACAGTATTATAAATTCACTTGCTGAATTAATGGTAAAGTAATACAATTAAGTGTAGCAATTAATATAGACGTAGAAAAATGCCTGGGTGTGTCTCTTAATGTATAGTTTATGTTCGCTTGAATGTGGCCATGCAAAATTACATTCACAATTAATTTATGTTGTACGATTTGTGCTGACAATTTACCATTGCTGTCATTGCAGATTCCAGTCTCAATGATTCTCATGATGTCCCAGAAACTCAGTCGTTCCCGACACTAGACCAGGTGATTTTTTCAATTCAAACAATGCAAAGATTAAGTCATGATGTTTTTGTCCTTCTATGGTGTATGCTTTCTGCTCTGTTTCTTCTTAGAGTCGTTTTTGATCATTGGATGGTTTGTTTTTAAGGTCTTTGAAGGCGTTCCTGAGCATGTTGGCTTTGACATTGAAATCAAATGGCCCTTGCAGCAGAAGGTGACTTTTTACTTGAAAAATCTATAAACCCAGAGTACATTAATACATGTATCACATTTCAGATTAGTTAATGTCAAAATCGCATTTGGTTAAATGCCTGACAATGAAAACATTATTTTCACCTTTAAATACAATCTTTTACAAAATAATGATTACGCACGTTTGTTCTTTTTTTAGAATGGAGTGTGGGAAGGGAATCTCTCGTCTTACTTCGACATGAACCAATTTGTTGATATCATCCTGAGCTGCGTACAGCAACAAGCCAAAACACGACGCATCATATACTCCTCATTCGATGCCAATATCTGTGCCATGTAAGTCTTCAGTTTCTTCGCCTCGCCACTGCTCCGGTTTGCACTTCTCCTGTGGCACCCAGTGTGTAGTGATGATCACCCACACTTGTGTGGTTATGATCGTGGATGGTATCGCATGACACATTGCTTCCACCCACATCACCTTGGGGTGGGTCTGTATTTGGGCATCCTGAGCTAAGCCTGCGAGCAGGATTAGTCAACACCTGTCCGGGAGGGAGTCGCTGAAATCAAATGATTGATGCAGCCAGGGAGTCACTTTCGTCCTTGGAGAATGTAGAAGTGTTGCAGCGTTGTAAAATCTTTAGGTCACTTCCAAAGAGAGAGAGTTTATCCTTTGTTCTGTCTGCATTGGGGATTATATGTCATATCTTGGATTATCTGTAAAGCATACGATGTTCAAACTCAACCTTTTTAACCATTTTCTTTGTCTATCTGGATAAACCAATCAGGTTGTGGGGAATTTTGGTTTACATGGCAAAAAACCATGTCAAGCAAACAGAATTTGTTCACAATCTTTATTGTCCCTTACTACACCCCCCCCCCCCTCCGTGTGCTCGGTCATGTTTCTGCTCCTTTTCCCTCCTGGCTCCCCCTCCATTGGAATAAACTCCCACTTCACATCAGCAAGGGCAACTTCACTCACCATCTTTCGTTCCTCTCTTAAGACTCATCTTGTTTCAATAGCGTATCCCTCTACTACTTGCTGTCTGCATCCTTACAACCTTAAGCATCTTCCCACCTTCCTAACCTTTCCCTATCATCACCCTTTCTTTTTATCCCTTCACCTCCCCAACACTCATACCCACATCCATTTTCCCCATCAGCTAATGCTAATGCACGTTTTATTTTTGTAAAACACTTTGACAAAAGCACGATGTAAAATCCTAGATGAGATAAACTAAAATTATGAAGTATGGAACATTGTATATACAGATCAGAAGAAAAAATAGACATATACAACACTTGTTCTACCATTGCCTTGGGACCTAAAAGCAAAGTGTTGCATTGTTTTCTGAATGTTTGCATTACTGAAGATGTATCTTTTGCTGTTTTTTTTCTACGATTGTTTTTAATGGGTTTTTGTCATTACCAGGGTCCGCTTGAAGCAGAATAAATACCCGGTACTCTTCCTAACTCAGGGAATGACGGAGGTTTACCCAGAATTCATGGACATTCGCACCCGCTCCACCCAAATCGCCGTTCACTTTGCTCAAGCCGAAAATATCCTGGTAAGAGACGGCTCGCGGGCCATATTAGTGGGCAAATATCTGAACCCCAGGCTTTGGGGCTTCCCCTAGATCTACTTGGCCTCAAATGAGTGCAATGTGTAAGCATCGGCATTGGGTGAGACAAAGGTGGCCAGGTGGGATGCTAGCAACCCATCCCTTCGTGTTCTTCACTCGCCTTCACAGGTGTCCGCAAATAGCACCTGCCCCAGCAGTCTGTTAAAGGCTACACACAGAGGATCTTTGTCATTTTTAGACAGTGAACACTTCATATTTGTGGGTTTTATAATCGCTGTTGCGTATTTGTGATGCAGAATGAAATTTTTGAAGGATAATATTTACACTGGAGGAATCTGATGAGCTATAACGCTATTTTTCACAGATGCCCAGTCCTTTTTAATAGATCTCCACAGATGCAGACATTTTGTCGCAGCGATATTTTGAAATTCACGGGGTTGTATTTTTAAATATTAGCGGCTGTAGCACGAGATACTACCCGTCCAAATATGCGAGCTGTGTTTGTGGTGAGGCATGGGAGCGTGGTGGATCGTGAAGCGAGCAAAAGTAGCCAACGCGACGCTACCCTCCTCCCTCTCAGCGCCTCCCGTCTGCCGCACCGTTTACAGCGAGTGTTTTCCTTTACAAAGTCTTTCTTACAATGATGACCTTTATACAGTAGATCATTGATTTATCCAGCGGCTTCGGGGAGGGGGGGCGGGTGGAGGTACCGGATAATCACATTATTTAAAATGCTTTATTTTTGCACATTCTTGAAAGACATTGTTTTTTGCTGTTGTGTTTTTCTTTGTATTGGCATAATTAAACATACACATAGACAGCAATAAATATCTTATTAAAAGTGACTGTATTTGATGTAACCGTACTTACTACCCCACTCTGGAATACTGCATGGGATGAAGTACGCACAACGCTCTTGTTTTAACAACTTGTGTTTGACGATCGCAGCCTTTAGATCGGTGCTCCGGCGAAAGCTGAATTAAATGCGCTTTTTGCCGGATCTCACTGTATATTTTCTGTTTTTATGCCTTGTTATCAGTCATGAAAAATGTATATACGTGCAGTATTTTCATTAAGTTGTATGTAGTGTATAATGTTCTGTATATAATATTTGACACAAATCATGCATATCTACTATGGTGTCGATCGCTGGATTAGTTACAGCCTTTGGAGAATTTTTTTCGGTTTTGCCGGATCGGCCCAGGACTTCCGGATAATGTTGGAAGATGGATAATTGCGCACCGGATAATCGATGATCACCTGTAACCTTTAATAGCCAATTTGCTCTGAAGCCTACTGTTTTATTCTGATGCACGTTATTATCATTCGTTTGTGTTCACAGGGAATTAGCGCTCACACGGAGGACCTTCTGCGAAACCCAACCTACATTGTGGAAGCCAAGTCCAAGGGGTTGGTGATCTTCGGCTGGGGCAATGATACCAACGTGTCCGAAAATCGACACCGTCTCAAGGAGCTGGGCATGGACGGCCTCATTTATGATCGGTAGGAACCCCCCGGGGCGTTTTTTTGTGTGTGTGTGTGTAGGATGACGCTTAATTATGGTGCCCGTTCTCAACTGTAGCAGCGACGTATGTGGATTTGGAGTATAGAATTTGGAAAAAAATGTGAGCGTAACAGAGGGTTCATCTTGTCTATAGGAAATTGAATGGGTGTTTGCCGTACCAATCAGATGCGTGAGGGTGGTACAAAATGTTCTAAAGCCTGATGTAGAGGTAAACACTACACACTGTTGATGTTAGAGTTACTTATGGTCTTTGAGTTCTCAAACGAGCCAGGGCACAATATTCTATATTTCTTTAGCCCTTCGTCTATTGCAGATAAACGATGATAAGTGCAGAAATGACAAAATACAGCAACATGATATATCTTCTTGGTTCTTTCGGTAAAGTCACGTAGAAGGGAAGTAATAAAATAATAAAAATAAAACATAGCCACAACGCAAGCAGCCGTCCTCAGGTGAAAACCAGGTCTGTCGAGGCGACGTGACTTTACCGAAAGAACCAAGAAGATGAATCCCTGCAGTCACGAAAGCTTTAAATCGAAACATCATGATATAATTGACATTTGACTGCAGAACACTGAAGCAAATTCAGTTTATGAATACCTTGTTGAAAGCGTATAGGGCAGTGCGCCATATTTGCAACGCGCCAAAAGGTCCGCGGCAGAATGCCTTTGTGGCAGACTCTCTTGAAGATACGACCTGGCAGAATAATTTGGGTATGAGCAAGGTGCGTGTGTGTGTTGGATCCCCAGAGTGCTGAAACGTGACAGCACGAGCGAGCCTCAGGAGATTTTTCATGTTGATCTTGACCCGATAAAAGGCAGACTTGGACAGGTTTGAGACATCATGGGGGCCTCCTTTGCCAGTACCAAAATATACTAATAGGGGTTTTCACCTTTTTTTTTGGCAACAAAACTGACACCATTTTCAAGGAACCATGTTTACATTAACCACAATGCTTGCAGTCAAATGCAAAAAAAAGCAATACTCTGATAATGTATGCATTGTCCTTGAAACTGATTGGTCCACACCAAAGACTAGTTTAGGAGGTTTGAGGCACTTTATGATCAATGATGAGACCTGGATTTAATATGATGGCCCGGCGTCCAAACAGCAGTCCAACACCCAACCAAGAGTTCTCTGCAGGCAAAATAAAGTACCTAATTTTCATGGATGCTAAAGGTGTGATTCTAAATTGACGTCATACCACACGAGGAGATGATCACAGGTTGATTTCGTGCAGACTTGCTCAATTGACTAGATCGTAGAAGAGCACTGGAAATGAGAGCTTGCACCCTTGTCTCTGAACGACAATGTCCCAGCAAAGGCTCAGATAACTTGGTACAACCTTGGTATGCCAAGTCTATGCATAAATAATGTGTCATCTTCCTTTATTGACCTCATGGGATGACAAATATGTACTAAATCTTGACTTAAAGCTTTCGTGACTGCAGGAATTAATATTCTTGGGTCTTTCGGTAAAGTCACGATACGCGAAGCAATACATTTTGTGACCCAATAAAGTGTAGGTGTTTTTGCGTGTAGTTTTACTTGTTATGAAAGTGCTTTGAAAAAAACAGAATGCTCGTTAAATTTCGATTTAAAGCTTTCGTGACTGCAGGGATTCATCTTCTTGGTTCTTTCGATAAAAAGTCACGTAGAAGGGAGATGATAAAATAATAAAAATAAAACAATAAAATAATACAATTCTCACGACGTTTTGGCCACAACGTGTCCAAGATCTACCGCATCCACCATTGGTCACCACACTTAGCCAGGTCGCTTTTCACTCCGCTTCTAGTGTCCTCATCGCTTTACTTTTCAATAACATGCCTTCACTCCCACTGGCTTATTTCTCTCCTATTGTTCGGTCCCTCCCATTTGCATCTCTTTTCCCCTTTCTGCGCTCTTCAGACATTTGGTACACAATCGGTGGGTCGTACATGCAGGTTTGTGTTGCTGAAACACATGGTGTATAGAATGAATGTAAATTAGGGTTGCCGTTGAATGTCAGGACAAGTTACGTACGTGGCCGATGGATTAGGCTGAGGGAAGAGCAGCCAGGGGGGGGGGGGAAGCACCACACGTGCAGGAGCGAATGGGATTGTAGCATCGTAAGTCTGAGGAATGGCAAAGACGCAGAGAGGCATTCTTCCAGCAGTAGATGGACCGTGAATTATCGTGATCGACATTATTAACGCGTGCGCCATTGCATCCAAGGTTACATTTGATATTGCAAAGCAATGTGTGCAACAGTTGTCATCTTTGTTTTGGTTGTGTTAAAAAATGTGACAAGCTTGAATGAACACTGCTGACACATTGTTACAGTGGCGTCCGCTGGAAACTGTGCGATTTCAACATGCAGCATATGCTTATTCGGATGTGCTGTTTCTGGACTTTGTCTTGGACAGAATTTACGACTCAAAACCGGAGGAGGCGAACACGTTCCAGGTTGAAGAGCTGAATAAGGTCACCGAGGGGGTGCCATTGGACGTCATCATCCACACGAACGGAGAGGACGCTCATCAGATCTCTTAAATCCATGCCCGCGTACTCTCCTGCACTCCAAACTTTGGTATTGATTACGCAATGAGATCTCTTTAGAAACCTTTCACTGCTCGAATCCTTATGCAGATTGTGATGTTTTGCATGCGCATATATGTGTAACTAATACTTTCACTTGGCTGTATTGTGCATTAGTCTTAACGTTTTAAAGTCAACAAGCAAGAACTTCAGTTTTAGCTCGCGCTTTTGCAGGCTGCTCATATTAACTTCATTCCAATTGCATAATCGGCTGGTCCAACATGTTACTTTCACAGTGTGTTAACTTTTAAAAGCAAATGGATGCGTTGTGATGCTATGTATGATTTGGCTTCTGTACTTGGTGCTATTTAGAAATATCTGCAATAATGTCAAATGTTGATTGCAAATGCGGCCATCTCGGTCTGCTTTGGCACGAGCATTTGCTGGAAGGTTTAAAGCATAAAACTTAATACCGGGCCCGATTTTGGCATGAAAACGTCCTTGGCATGCAACCCTCTTCGGTTGTCTTAACTGCAAAATGTATAACATCTGTCATATTGAAGTGATGCAAAGACAATGCATAATGATGTATATTTATTTTTCTTTTTATATATTCACTAACGTACGTTTACGCTCAACTCTCTTGGATACGTTCATATTCAGGTCATTTTATACGTTGTGGTCTGTTTTGTTGATTATAATTGCGTTTATTGTTGCAACCGGGGTAGCACGAGTTCATTGTTGCCTCGGACAAAGCAGTTCGATTACTATCTGTTCACTGTAATTATGCATGCGCATTGGGAAATCAGGACACAATGATGTATTGAGAACATACTTGACCTAGAGAAAACTGAATGTACGTTTGCTGATTCGTATGTTTTGTGAGTGCTTAGTAGCTCTAAAATGTAAGCAACAATTTTTTTTCTTTGTCTTATAAATGTTTGGTAGCATCAGACTTTTTTGTTGTGATTTTGGAACTTAGAAATTCTTGGTGCACATGCCTTTTTTCAGTATTTTATTGCACTGGTGTGCTGTGAGGTACTGTAAAAAGACATAACATCAATGCAGTGCTGATAACTATATTTTATGCGATAAAAACTTTACGTAATAAAGTGCAATGATGTCCTTTTATTTTCATTATTGTGTGGTGTGGGCAGATAAAAAAAAATATTCTAATTTGTTTTGCTTGTTTGAAAGCATGTTTCGTTTATTGTTCAGACTTAATTTGCACGTATTGCAAAACCAATTGGCGGCATATACAATTATAGAACGAAATACATGAAAATTATACAGTACGATATTACATTTTTATATAAAAAGTGTTATTTGGGTCTTTTGCTTAAACATTTTCTGGCTTCAATTACTTTTTACGTTTAATGTCAGCAATATTAATGAAAGGGCATCGGCTGCTTTTGTAAACATGTTCCTGACCATTTGTTATTTAAATGGAAGAATTAAAATCAATTATTGTAGTCCTTTTGGGGTGAGTGGAGGTGCAATGGTTTAGTGCACTGCACTTTGAACCCGGTGACCTGAGTTCGTTTCCCGGCCATGGCTAATATCAGCGGTGAGTGACAAATTCACTTTCCCTGGGCTCCCTCCATCCGCACTGATCATCATGGTGAAGTATGGTCAAACAACCCCCATGACTAAAACACGGGGGGGGGGGTGGCCTTTAGGGGGCTTTGACGAATGACTTTTAAAGTATTATTTTGTATTAATATGCTTGAGAATTTATCTGGGAATGAGCTAATGTGTGATGTATATGTGTGATGTATATGTGTGTTAAAATGTACAGGGATTTTTGATTTGTGTTTGTGCCGTTTCTGTCTGACGGCTGAACACGTTTACTTTTGGAGTGTGAAACGTTGGAATTTATTCGGTTAACAGTAGCCACGTGTCTTTTCAAAATGTATCATTAGATTGTGTAATGTACATTTTCACACTTTTGTTTGTGAACTTTCTTTCAAATGTACATTATTAAATAACAATCTTGCATTATCCTACCTCAATTAGTACATTATGTGTTTTGCCTTTTTAAGCTTTGTTGTCAGTTTATGGGTTTGCAAGTGTGAACATAATGTGTACAGTATGCATAATAATACAGTATAAGCCATGTTTTATTACATAGGATTTCAAAATTAACGACTTGGAAATCATGCGCGAAATTAGCACTCTTGATATTTTTACCAATTTATCGCAGTTCTTCCACTCTGGGTTTAACCACTCACGAGGCATTTTGAGAATGCTGAGTTTGTAGATTGCACACGCCACTCTGCACAGGATGCCAGTTGAAAATGTTTCATGTTACGTGTCATTTAAAAATCTAAATATGTGCCTATTACAATATAGATGTTCACGTGCCTGTATTCTAAATAAAGACTCATAAATGCATCAAGATGTGATATCTGTAGTTACATTTTTTTATTAATGTGGTATGTAGTGAATATATAAATGTATCGTTAAAACCCACCACCACCCGACACAGCCAACTATGACTTTGAAACCCCCCGCCCACCTCCTACGCATTTCCCATAAATATGCTAAATTCCTCTTGATATGCAAATTATTTTGTCAAGGCGCTCTTTTTCCCCCTCCAACCCAGCTTTAAATATATGCTCCAAGCTTGGTGGTGTTTCATTCTTCACCTGAGGATGGCTGCTTGTGTTGTAGCCGAAACGTCGTGAGAATTATTTTATTATGTTTTATTATTATTATTTTATTATTTCCCTTCTACGTGACTTTACCGAAAGAACCAAGAAGATAGTAAGGGTTGTCACGTAAACAGAACGTGGCCAATTCGTCACTAGTACAGCACACCTGTGTGTTGGAGAGCCAAGCCACAACATTTACAATCGGAGTACGATGTTTCGCCAGTAATTACAACGAGCTTCAGGCGACAGCCAGATTTGTGGAGAAGTCCACCTGTTTCGTTCCTTCTATAGAGGCGTAGATGTGTTGACTGCGTAGCTGCGTTCTTGCACAATGTCGGGGGGGGGGGGGGATTACTGAGGCAACGTACATTGTGCATGTGCATTATGCGAGCCCTTTGAACGTGTCCTTCCTGTCTATTGTGTTTATTAAAATAGCCCAACGGTAATCCCTATTGAAGTACGCTGCCCTTTGTAGGCATGCATTTAAAACGCATTCCTGTGGAGGGAGCTGGTAGGAACGTTGGGTTGCTCGGTCAATGGCCAGGGTCAACGGCGGCGTGGTGTATTCCGCAAATATGGCAGACTGAGGGCGGGCACAAGCCGGCGTGAGTAGGTTAAACGTTGAGTTTTATAAGTGCACCACGGGGTGACCAGCCCCTCCCCACCCCTCCCGCCCAGCCCCTCCTCACCCTCCCCACCCTCCCCACCCAGCTCCTCCCTGCACGACGGACGGACAGACACAATAATCCCCTGTGGGCTGGTGTAACCAGGAGGTTCCTACCAGTATAATGTATTATTTGTATTATTCGCTTCCACGCAGCACTAAGGCCGTAGCTATCCGAACGGTTGAAGTTATTTTGATTTCTTTCAATTTTGATAAGATTAATTAGTCTTGGCCAGTAGTAGCTAGTTTTGCACAAAACTTCAACGTTATCAAAATCAATTGAGTTTCCTTGCTGGCACGTGTGTTCTGCTTCTGCTGACAGTTGCATTTGGGATAATTTAATATTTATCTGATTTTCTTTTCGTGCTGATAAATCGTCCTGCTTGCCCAACATAACATTTACCACACGTGCAGTTAATCCTGTACACACATTCTGTTGATAGCTTCGGTAACACATCTTTTGTACCAGATATACATTTCTGTATTTTATGTACCGTGCCAAATCTGACTTGGATGTTTTGTTTTTTCCAAACATCTGGCTAGTTTATCAGTTACCCCCGCAATGTACGGTATTTTGATCGTTTTAATTACTTGGGTGGTTTCAATGCTCTTGTTATTTGATTTGGTTTTGGTATTCAACGCCCTGTTGATTTGTGCATCATTGTAACCATTAATTTGCAGCGCTTCTTTAACTTGTTGAATTTCACTTCTCAGACTATCACCATCTGTACTAGTGACGAATTGGCATGTTCTGTTTACGTGACAACCCTTACTAGTTGGCTGTGTCGGGTGGTGGCGGGTTTTAACGACACATTTATATATTTACGCGATCTAACCCAAAAACCTCTTGTGGATGATATTGGTCGCGAAAGCCTACGTGTTAAACTGGTATCGAAAAATGGTATTTAGTACTTAGGATTCTAAATCATTGCAATAGTGTCTTAAAGATTCCATAACATTTTGACAGCAATGTTGTCGATATTTATGGACTATTCTCAAGGATTTAACAACAATACAATTTATAACGCGCGCAGTGTTGCTGACCAAAGACGCAATTCTGCGGTGCCCAGCTCAATGTGACGGATCGCGATTGAATGTCGAGTTGAAGAAGATGCGCCTTCTGGATGATTTTAGACGGCTTATGTTCAATTAAAGTTGTACATTTATACATGTAAAAATGTACATGGATGAAATGTACAGTACTAAATATATCCCATGGACTACCAGAAAAGATTACTTATATCGACATGTTGTCTACCTAATCTCTTGTAAATGTTATTTCATCACTAATGGAAATTCTGCATTGACAAGAAGCACTTGGCGATAGAAAAAAAAATGCTTTGTCTATGAATTAGCGTTATGTAACCACGTGATTGCCCAGTGCGATAAAGCCACGTCTCTTTCCAAGTGAAAGCTTGCTAACCATAATTTGGGGAAATGTGTTTTTATATTTTTAGTTTGGGTCATTAAAATGTTATTTTGTGCTAATTTTTTTTGGTGATCTTCAAATAGCACTCGTGGATAAGAATGGCACGAATGTCTCTAAAATTAACCTTACCTCTCAAAAAGGTCCTTAAACTGTGTTTAATTATATTTTTTAATTGGCTGGACCTCCATATGTCTTTATTACCGTTGTATTATTGTTGAATACAATTCCTATTTCCCTCTCAAGTCTTTCAAAACACTAACTGCATTGGTGATAGTAGGCTGTCTGCAGACATGTATATGCCACTGCCGGAAGGAGTTTGATTTTCCAGGCATCGTGATGTGTTATAGTGAAAGGATTGCTCACATTGATCCCAGTGAATGCAGTACGTTCTTCTAAATACGTATCTCGAATATCAACTCTTCACCGAGCCTTTAGCGAACAAAACCGGTGGGTTTCTTCCAAAGGGAAATTTAATGAAAAAAAAAACGAATTGGCATTATCGAGTCAATGTCGTTACTCGGCTAGTGTTGAATAAAATGGTATAAGTGTCGAAAAGCAATTTAATATATTCAGCATAGATACGAAAATGAACAGTACTCTTAACAAATGTAAATCTTATATAAGTTTTATAACTGCATTGTCAGGATTATGAGAAACACTATTTCCCTCGAGTTTAAATCAGACGTTTGGGGTGCATCTTAGAAGCTTTGTGTGTGTGTGACCAGATCTTGATTGGAATAGCTTTTTTTATTTTACACCGGGCACAAGTTTGGAGTGCATCTCACTCTCCGGAGCCTCATAATCTGGAGAATATGCTGGACATTTGGTCACTGTGGTAGCAATGACTTTAATATTTTTTACCGCACTAAGACAACATTTTTGCTGGCTGGCTGACTGGCTGGCCACGCATCGCCCGAAGCACGTTCTGACTGCATGGAAGCCACCCAGTGTGCAGAGAGGAGGAGGCTCGTGGGGGTGGGGGGTTATATTTTCAGCAGCTGCGTAACGTTGTGTTGAAGCTCCCTGGCTCATGGCTCCATACGAAGCCCCCTGAGTTTTTCTCGGCCAAAGTTATTCCCTCTGTGCTTGCGAAACGCAGAGCCCTTAAAATGACATCTGCGCCAATTTTAAACATTTAAGGCTGGGCCTGCCTACGGGTCCATATTGGGTATAACCAGACTGGATTACAGGGTGAGAATCTCGCAGATGCTTGAGAGATCTGGACACAGTCCCATCGGTGAGCTCCTGGCACGCGAGGCTTGGATTATGTAGCCAGTATGCCCAGCCACAGCATGCTCAAGCGGCTTCTGTTTGGCTGGATCGAGTGGGATAAACGTGTGTGGAATGAGCTAGAGAAGAGATTGACTGATGTGGCACAGAGGACGTATAGCTGCTTGGACTTTCCAATGACTGATACCAGTGTTGTCAAGATCGGCGTCTGTGGAGGAGGCTCGTGAAGGACGCTATTGGACTGCTGGAGGCAGTCGCCCCCCAACAACAGCGGAGGGCAGAGAAGCGACGCTCACAACAACGAGCGAAGCGCCGGGCGATTAAAACGCAGCAAGTTGCCACAGTGAGGACCACAGGTGGTGCATATGCCGGTCATCTCAGTCCGTCAACCGATGGCACCTGGGCCTATCACGTGACCTGCCTGCGAACCTTCGACACTCCACGTGGCCTCAAAGTGCACGGCGAGGCACAAGCGCCTTGGTGATGTCACCGTCCCTTCGTGGCGAACGGCAGTTGTTGTTTTACAAATGAAAGGCATTCATGCTGTCACGACGCGCACGTGGATACTCAGCGGTCTTTGCACGCAGACAGTTGAGTCATGCCTGAACAAAGCGTGGATGGTAGAACACTTTAATTGGCAGCTGAATGTTATATTAGTTCACGAGGATAGGCTGAATTACTCAAAGTGATGTCCTGCTGCATTCAATATAAATGTGGAGGTTTTTTTTCCCCCCCAGAGGAAAGTCACTTGAGCAAAAACTAATTAAAATAAATTGTGCTGCTCACAAAAAGACGTTTGTTTCATCTATAGCAGAGGCTCCATTGCTGCTCTTTGATGTTTTCTCTATGATGCTCAGGACCGAATGAAGTGAAATTTACAAAGAAAAACTGCGACTTTTGTGTAGATTAAAAATATAATTTTGGTTGACAATAGCGGCGATGGTTAGATTAAAAGCAAATAATAAATGTAATTCAGCAGCAGGATTTTTCAATGATTAGGTGGAGTTCAGCGTGATCCTAATTTAAAAGATATACAAAGGAAAGTACCCCCTTACAAACATGAAAGATCTTCATGTTTTGTAGCTTTTCCATTTGTCATATTGCACAGTACTAAAAGTGCACAATTAGGTTATCTAAATCCCGAAGCAAAATTTTATGGATTTCATCATGAATGCGACGAAAAAATATAGGGGGTGTAATGACAGATCAGACTGTGTTCTAGGGCTTGTGGTAGTTAACGTCGTTGACGAAGGATAGCATATTCTACGTGTTAAACAGATTCTAAAAGGTTTGTGATGATTGTTATACTGTTTATAAGATATTGTGTACTGCATGAAGAAGATCAATGCCCTTTAACCAAGTAACGTCATTGAACTCCATCGTTTCCTTTGCATGGGAGACCGTTAAGTTCAGCTCA